AAGGGTTTTTTTATATTTAAAAATCTGTCTGACACTGAAAATCCGTTGTATTATAAAATTCGTTATATCAAAATTCGTTGTAGAAAGAGTTGACTGTACTTAAAAAACTGTTTAATTACTTTGCCTATTCTTATATATCCTAACTTTTCAAAGAAATTTCTAGTATTTACTGACATATTTTACATAAGCTTAGAATGTAGTATTAACTCAATTAGATAACTAAAATAAGGAACATGTAATTGTAAAAATCTTAATAGTGTTAAACTAATTATACACCTACTGAATTAAAATGTCTTGCTGTTATCTAGACAATAGAACACTTTAGGATTTATTTTCTGTATTAACTGTTTGACTTTATTATCAATCATGTTTTATTACAATATTTATTTAATAAATCAGATCCTCTTGAAAATTCATGCGTTAGATAATTTGCATTATAGAATTTTTGTATAATATTAAATACTGTAAAAAAAAGATACATCAAAACATTGACATCCTTTTGAGATTACCTTCAATTTAAACAACATTATATATATATAAAATTTAGAATAAAAGCTTAAGGTTAGCAATATAAACAACAACTCTTGATTACAATATGAATATAAATTTATATAATAACCTCTACCTTTACATCACTTAATCTATATATCTATCATCCTCTATACCTGCTAAATGATTATTAATACAAAAATAAGCAAATTATTATCTCGTATATAATCATCTTTTATACCAATAAAATAGAAAGCAACCTAATAAACCGCTTCAAATTATTAAAATAACTGAATTAAAAACCTTATTACATAATTTGTATAATAAACCTTTTAGAAAGAGACATTATTTTCAATAGAATATCAAGGAACTACTATTGGCTAAATATATTGCAGAATGAATAAAAATATGTAATGATTGCTAATGGTAAGAAACATTTTATTAAAAAAACTTTACATTCTATATTTATAGAACAACCTTTTAATCAAGTAAGAATTGATTATATGAAACCATTATCATGAACTACTTAAGGAAATCATTATATTATTATCATTATAGAGTACCTGACCAAGTGGATTGAAGCTGCTACTATTTCAGATTGTATAGCTAAAATTACAGCTCAGTTTATTTATTAAGATATAATTTGTCAACATGAAATCCAAAGGATATATTAACTAATTGAGCAACATCTTTTCAAAATGAAATTAGCTGCTATAGTAGTGGTATTGATTTTTTGTGATTAAAAAAAATATATAAAAGGATATGATGATTAAGACGGAAGGTATGATGATTAACGAAAGGATATGATAATTAAAGAAAAAGGTATTAATTTTTGTGGCTAAAGAAAAAAAAAAGAAGAGAATAATATTTATAAGAAAAAAAATTTTTTTTGATCTGATCAATCTGATGTTACACCGGCTAACTGAATCGACTGAAAAATTTGTCAGTGAATCAAGAACAATTACATCTACTTTTCTATATATATAAAATTGTTCTTTTTTTTTTCATCATATCGAATAATGAATTCAAACCAAAAAATTTCTTCAGGACCAATATTTTGTCATAGATGTGGTACTTTAATTATAAATACTGGTAAAGATGTTTTAGAATGTTCAACATGTCATGCAATAAAAGACGCAGCAGGTAATAATTTTATTAAATTACAAGACATATTTTAAAATAAAATTCAAATAATTTTTTTTTTCAGAATATGAAAATGTAACAGTTGTAACGAGAAGCGATCCAAAGTCATTCCCATCAAAATTACGATTACGCCATTCCAGAATTCAACAATCGGATCGATACAAAGAAGAAAAGGCAACAGTACGTCAATACATCTCTCCCTAAGTAAAAATTCTAACTCGACAAATTTTTTTTTAACCATCTTTTATATCTAGATTAAGGAGAAATGTCCAAAATGTGGAAACGAAGAAATGAATTATCATACGATGCAATTAAGGTCGGCCGATGAAGGACAAACTATTTTTTATCATTGTGTAAAGTGCGGGTAAGTGTAGTAAGCGAATTCAAGGTTGCGGTAAATAAGTTATAATAACAATTTTAACTTTTATTTTAGGTACAAGTTTTCAATTAATTCTTGAGTATAATAAGTGATTATATAAATCGGTTTATTTATTATAAGTGTTGCATATCCAGCTTAAAATATAAATCACTGAAATAAACACGAATCAAGGTCATTTTACCAGCAAATGTTATGAAACTATAAAAAATAAAAATAACAAAATAACTATTCTACTAGAAAAAAAAAATTTGATTGTGAAGGATAAATTAGAATGCCCTTTTTTATTCCTCTGGAACCCAAACTAAAGTAGATACAAGTTTAGCAGCACCCTTGCGTAACATCTAAAGAAATAGAAGAAAAAATATATACATAGAGATTAACTAAACAAAGTTTAACAGAAAGAATTCAAATCTTGCTCAAATTACTTACTCCTCCTTCGCCGATTGGTTTGCCATTCCAAAGGTCGGTGTGTCTAATGATCTTTCTGTTTTCGGGACTGAATTCCAAAGTGATTTGGCTTTTTTGTACAATAGCGCGACCAACGAAGGGAAGTTCATACTTTTGTTCCAATTCAAATTTCAAATAATTTGGACTATTTTCCAAAATCTTGTATTTCTTGGTTGTAGATTTAACAAATACTTTTGGCATTCCATAGAATTGTGCCTTTAAGTTCGGCAAACCAGCAGCAAACATAAGTGGGTCTTCAAATATTACACTGTCATCATAATACTTAAAACATTCCTTCTTTGGTTTGCAACTATACAAACTCACAATATTTTTAAAGATTTCCTGTCTTTCATTATCTAATGCAATAATATTATCGTTTAAATTGTCATTCGGAGAAATTTTCGAAACATCTCTTTCTTCATAATCATCAACCGGTTCTATCATTGATGCATAAGAAGATACTTGACTTCCAATTGAAGTGGGGAGATTATATATATAAGCTGTACCCTCATTAAAGGTCGAAGTAACGGTGGATCTAGTATTACTCAAACCGGAATAAAGAGCAGTATAATTTTCATTGAATTTACTTGAAAAAGTTGAATAATTATCAGAGAATTTGCTGGAAAGAGTCGAATAATTATCGTTAAGATTTTTGGAAAGATTTGGATAATTATCGTTGAGTCTGCTGGAAATAGTTGTAGAAGTTGAGTGAATGGTGGATGATAGTGATTGAACGGTTTCAGAAAACATTTTGTATAACGTCGTTATTAAATTTGTTTGTGGAGAAATTTTTTTTTTAAATTTTAAAATGTCGTTAACGTTAAATTCATTAAAGAGAAAGAAGGGTATTTTGATGGTAAAAAACCATGCACCTTTTTATATTTCAAAAATTTATACTTTTGGAAATTAGCCCCTTAGCAAAAAAACTAGAAATTAAATATGGATCTACAATCATGGGATTCCAATTCATTAACACGAGCCGATTCATGTTATTTACTTTCATGTTATTGTAATGACAAGAAATAAAGTTTTAAATAAAGTTAGATTCCATTTTAGAACCGGCAATTCATCACAAAAAGAATTATATGCCTAAATTAAGATACATTTAGTGTGATTGAAATTTTTATTATCACAAGGAACTATCTATAAAGGATAAATTTTCAAAAGGCTTAACTCTCAAAATTTCTTTTTAAATTTAAAATTATGACAATTTTGGTGTCTTAAATAAAATGTTGTTTTTGCCATTTTCAAAACACATGATCGACAACAAATATTTGCTGATTAATTTTCATTAATTTTCACGATCCAAGAAAAAAAAAATTTTTTTTTGAAAAAATTGCCGGTCTTTTAACTTTTTTTATTGCCATTTAGTCACAATTATTTATTTTTAACGTCATTCAACCATGCATTGATCGCATTTTTTATCACATTCAAAAACTTTGATGATATAAAACCCCGAAACCCTATTTAATAAATTTTTTTTCGTTGATGTCATTATGATTCATTTCTAGGGAAATTTTTTAATTTTAAAAATTAATATAAAACCTGACTCAGAATTTACTCGGGGTATCCAATCAAAATGTGCTTTATGATCATCCACTCAAAATATTATTAGAATGGTAGAAAACCAAGCGACAAGAAGACCTTGGGAAAAAACTAATCTTCTTCAAATCAATATAAAACAAAATAAAATTATTTCTCAAATGAAGGGCTTAGCAACATATCAGCGGAAAACATCAATAAAAGTTTAGTAATAAAATCTTGATCTGTTCCCAAAATTTTCACGTGTTCAACATAATTTGAATAATTACTTTATTAACATTTATATGTTAGAAAAATCGGGTACTGAGAATTTTTTGCAATTTTCAACAATCAAATTCTCAGAACCTGATTTCCAAACGATCATCCCACACGAAGATGAGAATTTTTTGCAACAATCAAAATCTCAGAAACCGATTTCTCAGAAACTGATTTCCTTAATGATCATCCCGCATGTTTGTGATTTGCGTCTGAATTCGAAGATCAGATAATTGAAATTCCCAATTTCAGAAATCCCGGCTATAAAAAAAAGCTATTTTAGTCGCAGTTAGCCGTTTGAGACTTCCCCTGCGTACCCATCAAAAAATGTCACGTCGGCCCGCTTTAAGACTTTTGCAGGCCCATATGCATGATCATGCATATTTCCGATCCTTAATGTCGGCCATTTCGTGACATTTTTTGATGGGTACGCAGGGGTAGTCGTCGTTTGATACCAAATTTCATATTACTACGTATTATGAAAATTTCCGATCACATGAGTATCTCTGTCCGTTCACGTGTTTCGATAAATTTAAATCTCAAAAAATCACGTGGGATTAAATTTCTGTGATGATAAAAAAACATTTATTGATAATTGAAATACTATAATAAAGAAAACAACTTTTAATACTCTATTAAGAATAATATAAGTTTAATTGAATAAAAAGTATTTATATAAATTTTATAAGTTTTATATTATTATTATAATTTTAAGAGTTTTTAATAAAATAATTTTCAAATAATTAAAGAAAATTACATTAAAATAAAATTATCTATTAAAAATTATAGTAATAATTTTTTTAGATTTAATTTTATATTCAAATAAATTTATATATAAAATCCATAAATGTATAATAAAAGATAGCTACATAATAATCTTATTTTTTCCTCATAGTAGATAAATTATTAGAATTGTAAAAAATATGTTATATTAATTTCAACCCAATTTTTGAATGGAAAAAGAATTCAGTTAGTTGCTTAAATAATATTTTAACTATTAGAAAATTTTGCTATTTTATATTAGCATTAATCAGCTATTATTAATGCTAGAAACTAGCAAATACTAAAGGTAAAAAAATCAAATTATAGTAAATTTAAAGACATATTTGATTAGTTTTAAGAATAGGATCTTAAAGAATATTATAAAAATACTGAAAGTTAATAACTAAAAATTAAAATTATTTTAAATCTAAAATCAAAAGTTGAATCAGCAAAATTGATTTTTAAAATAATTAATTAGCTGTTAAAATGATTTTTGATTTCAGTTTTAAAATTTAAAAAGTTAATAAAATCAAAATTAATTTTTTCAATTTTTTATATATAAAACAATTTTTTTTTAAGATATAGCTTTGTCTATATATGAAGTCGAAATGAAAAGTTGAAATAGTCAAAATAACGTCATATCACATGATTTTTTATTTTTTATATATAGAAAAAAACAAAAAAATAAAAGATGTATGATCTCGGTCAATATCACTCTAATTCATATGAAACAACTACCATTTGATTTCTCACGATTAGACAAATCCAATGAGCTAACATTCATTGATTTCGAATTAGCTCATCTTAAGATATTTGCAATCGAATTTCAAAATCCAGACTCCTTTATTTAAAGTAGAATTTATTGATTTATAATTTTAGCTGATAATACAATTGCGATTATTTTGAAATTGGATGATCTGAAATCAATAAATGTTAGCTCATTGAATTCGTCTAGTTGTGAGAAATCGAACAGTAGTCATTTCATATGCATCAGAATGATATTGATCAAGATCATACATCTTTCGTTTTTTTATTTTTCTATATATAAAAATCATGTGATATGACATCATTTCGACCATTTTGACTTTTCACCTCAAATAGTTAAAATGATTTCGACCAGAAACTGACAGCCCTATTTTAGTTGGTAACAACTGAGATCCTATTGTAGGTTACACTACAATAGATCCTAGTTCAGCCCTTAGCCAAGGTAGATTATGGTATTAATTTACTATCCCTTAAATAGTAATAATTTTTATTCAAATTTAGTCATAATTTTCAATCAATTATTATACAAAATTCTACATATAAACTTACAATTTTTTTAATTTTTAGTTAAAATATGTTATAAAATTTATTATAAATCTATTACTTTTAAATAAAATTTCATTTTTAA